CCCCAAAACCCCAAAACCCCAAAACCCCAAAACCCCAATCAAAATAAAAATATTGATATTTTTGTTACAAAATTTTCGATCTAAGAAGCAACTTATTTGCGAGGAGTGCCTGGCATCTGGCTTCTACCTCTTCTATGAGGGCGTGCTTGGGATTTTGAGGTTCTAACGCGTTTAGTTTTTGATGATTTTTTATTGCTTCTCTCAAACTGCTCCATCATTTTCTCTTTCTCTCTATCAGCTTTAATTTTAATCTCAGTCCTCATCTCCAACAAGCTCTTTCTTTCTTCTATAACTTTTTGTGTTTTCAAATCATCTGCTTTAATTTTCTGAAGCATGAGCTCTCTTTCATAATCCTGTTGTCTTTTAACCCTTTCAGCTTGTTCTTGTCTATCTCTTCTCTTCATATTCTCTAACTCTTTCCTAACCATGATATCTTCTTGGTATTTTTGCTTATGCTCATCTACTCTCATCTCAGTTGACATGATCTGGTTCATAATACTAGCTTTTCTTCTCTCTTCTTGTTCTTCCATCTGTCGCCTAGTTTGGTCTCTATAAATCTGTTTTTCAATCTCCATTTTCTGCTTTTCCTTGAGTCTGATCTGTTCTTGTCTATCTTGCTCCATCTTTTTCTCTTCTTGAGCCTTCATCTTGTTCTCGATTTCTCTTTTTCTCATTTCTTCGTTGACCTCATTCTGGTGCATAACTTGTTCAATAAGCTTAGCTTTTTCTTCAGCCTTCTTCCTGCGGTGGATGTTTTCTAGCTCTCTCTTGAGCTGGAACTCACGCAACTTCTTATTAGCCTCCCTTTCCTTGGATTTATAGTATTTCCGCTGATTTTCTAAACGTTCTTCATTGTTGCGTCTAGCTTGCTCGATTTTCTCTTCTTTCTCTCTTCTCTTATTTTTCTCCAAGCATCTGTCTGTGTGCGCGTTCTATTTCTTGCTTCTTGATCCTTTCAGCTTCTTTAGCCTCCATACTAATCCGTTTGAGCTCTGCTTGTTTCATCTGCTCTTCTTGGATTTGCTGGGTCTGTCTTTCAAATTCCTCCTGCTTTATCCTTCTTTCTTCCTCTCTTTTCTTGGCTTCCCTCTTCCTTCTAGCTTCTTTACGCTTGGCTTCTCTCATTTGTTCTTGTTCTTGTTCGTACATTTTCATTTGGAGTAAGTTCTGCTCACGTTCCCTTTGTTCTTGCTCTTGCTGCCTACGTTCTTCGTCTTTTTTAGCTTTTCTCTCTTGTTCCTTTTGTTTATTTGTAAAGTTCTCTGGCTCGTCTTTCTTCTCTTTGTTTTTCTTTCCTGAGCCTATGATGCAGGGTTATAAGCAGGGTGTAGAGAGTGCTTACTTTTCCTCATTTCTGGCTTGGATCTCAGCCATTTGCTGTTCATATTGCATTTTCTGTTCGAACTCCTTTTGTTGTTTTCTCTTAATATTTTCCAAGTTCTGAATTTCTTTCTTGATTACAGCAGTGTCACCATCGAGGGTCAATTTCTTGCGGTTGTTTGCACTTTTTATTCGTTGCATCTGCATGAGATTTTTCAGATTTGTATAAGTAGGTATACGGTAGCACCCTTCATCCTCATCATAGACAATATTCCCCTCTGCTTCATCTAGAATGACTCTTTGGCGTTCGTTCTTGGTCATGAGAATTTTCTCAATTCGTTTATCTTCCATATGGTCCCACCTCATTTGAAGGATCTTGGGAGGAACCCCAGCTGCATCAGTCTGCTTATTTAAAGTTCTTCAGACTAACAAATTTGAGTTCCTTAACCTTAATGCCTAACCGTTTGAGCGCTTCTCTACTTCTAGGAGTGAGTTGTTCCTTTTTAGCCCCTAAAATTAATTATCTCCTGCTAAGACTTCTTTAATACTAAGCATGAACTATGATTTTATCCACAATTCTGATTAAATATCTCTGCGAGAAACTACTTCTAGAATTTTGGCCCTAATTCAGGATCTAGCAAGCATAAAAGTGCAGTTAACAACTAGGGTTACACAACTAGTAAAATACACCAATTTTTTATAAGGGATGCAATTATGTACCGGTTCCTTTGTAGTCATCAATAGATACCAATCTACAGAAAGTTATTACAACGTAACGGAGTTCTTACTTGTATGTAGACATTGATTCAATTTTTATTTTATTCAATTAATATTAAATCTGAAGGGGTTTTGGGGTTTTGGGGTTTTGGGGTTTTGGGGTTTTGGGG